AGTCAAAACAATGAACTGGAAGATACTTGCGACTGCAACTGTGATCTAGAAATAGACATTATTAAACACTTCAGCACCCAATTGGAGTCACTGCAACAGCTAGTGAAGCAAAGTCAGGCACAAATTTTGAAGCTGCAAGCTGAGAAAAAGAGGTTATGTGCTGTGTGATGCCATTGTCTACACTGTAGTTCGGTAATTTAAAAATTTTTAAATTCTTCTTCCTTGCAAAATAGTCCAAGCCGACCCACCAATTGCATGGAGGCAGCCGCTGGTTCGCGTAAAAGTGGCATATATACCATTAAATCTCAGCTAGTTGGTGATGAGTCATTTATGGTGTGGTGTGATGAGGAAACGGACTTTGGCGGTTGGATTGTCATTCAGCGACGCCTAAGTGCGGAAGTGGATTTCTATCGAGATTGGCAACAATATAAGCAAGGATTTGGTGAATTGTCGGGCAATTATTGGATAGGTTTGGATAAATTGCACGCTCTAACCGCAAGTTGTGAACAAGAGTTGTATATAAAAATGGAAGCATCCAATGGCACAAAGTACTATGCAAAATATGTTCTGTTCGTCATTGGTAGCGAAGAGGAAGATTATGTTTTGCGAACCGTTGGTGCTTACAAAGGGAATGCTAGACACGGTTTAAGGTATCATGAAGGCAGTAAGTTCGCAACATTCGATCGAGATAATGATGCAGACCCTGGTATTAATTGTGCCGAACGTTGGAGAGGAGCTTGGTGGTACAAACAGTGTTACCACAGGTGAATTGAACTATATTTTGCACATTTACGCATAGATTTACATACATACCTATTTTAAATACCATTTTTCTCAGCAATTTGAATGGCGACTATTCTCAGCAAGACAACGGCCAAGGCGTTACTTGGATCGGCATAAAAAGGAATGAGTCCTTGAAGTTTGCGCAAATGATGATACGGCCAACGCAAAAATGTATTAAGCGGTTGGCAATGAAAAATTTTTCGTTTTAAGATGAAAAGTTATAAAACTAAAATAACTTTGTGAATATTTTTAAATAATGGAAATTTCATGGAGACAGAATTGTATGAGTCAAACGCACATTTAGCTTTAGATTTAATATTTTCAGAAAAGGTCAAGAGGCCTTTATATAGTACTGATTTAGGTTTATTTAATATGCCCAATTTTCGTATTTAAACTACTGAATTAAAATAAAAAATAAGTAAAATATATAGTTACTCACGTTACAATTTTGAGACCTAGAGTCTCTCAAGTGACGACGTAAAAGCTGAGCATTTTGAAAGTTTGTTGAGTCGTTTTTTTAATATAGTATAAAACCTGATACTTGGTCTTTGTTAAAAAATTAACTATATTAAAAAAAAATAAGAAAAATTAAACAAAAAAATAAAAGTTAAAACTTATCAATCTGTGGTGCGGCTACAATTTTTTCGTCCACTGTAATAACGAGATTAGAAAAGTTGGACTTTGACGCTTTTTAATAAACGCTATTGAACATTTTTATTGTTGATTCTATGAGTGCTTTCCAGTATCACCAGGGATAAAATGGTTTTTGATGTATTTAATTAATGATTACTGAGCAAATATTTTCTAAATTTTTTACTTTGCTAAAAAATTGTAAAAAAATGTCTAAGATATATGTAGGTACATTAGACTGCATCACCAAAAAAAGTTGCGGTTTTTCCGCCGGGATTACAAAATCTATTATATTTGAAAACGTCCACCTAAATATTTCGGAAAAATATTAAGATTTACGTGAGCTGGACCGATTTGAAAACATGTACCTCCAAAATTGGAAATTTGTATGAATAAAAATAGTTTGAAAAAAATCCCCTCGGATGACAAAACAGATTAAGCTTAAAAAATCTGCATAAAAACATTTAAAAATGTTTTCAACGGAATCTTTAAAAAAATTAAAAAACAGCATCAAAAATCTCATTATTACGATTCCGTAGAAAATTAACAATTTTAATAATTTTTAATATTTTTATGCAATTTTTTTTAACTTAAATCATTTTTTCGTTTGAGGGGATTTTTTTTTCAAAAAAATCTTTAAGAAACTATTTTTATTCTTAAAAAAACTCTATTTTTGTCAAATCTTAATATTTTTCCAAAATATTTTGGTGGAAGTCTTAAAATATAATAGATTTTATAATTCTGATGGAAACACAGTACCGATTTGTTTTTTTTTTTTTTTTGTATGGGGAGTGTTGCAGTCTAATGTACACATGTACGTAGTATGTATAAAATAAAGATAACTTCATATTTTTGTCAATGTTCTCATTTTTGACTTCGCTTTAGTCAAAGTAAAAGTAAAATTTTCACTGCCACCATTTACAGCTGAGATTGTCCGTGAAATTCGCGTACACGTAATAATATGTATGCAACATGCAATATCGATGTTGCAACATCATATCAGAAGTTTATCACAAATCGCCAATCACTTCACTTCGCTTAACTTGCTTTGTTTTTGCACTTTAATAATCATATTGTGTACAAAACAAAAGCACAGAGAAATCGCTCGTTACTCCCGATCATGTTGCACCTACATACATACATACATACGACTACATAGTACTTACCTGCTGTGCTCGCAGGAGGGCAGCTTATTTGACTGTTCCTGGCGCCAAGAAAGTTGCTCACGTTGCGTTTAATAATTTTTGCACTTTTTTGTTTAAATTTTTGCTTCAGTTTCATAGCTTAGGGCAAATATGCGTTATATAATTATACGTACGACTTTAACCATTTTGTATTGCGAATAAGGCGATTTTATATTGCACAAAGCAATGCGATAATTTCATTATTTTTATTTTTTATAAAAATTTCCTCAACTTTTCTTTGCTTTTTTACGTTGATTTTAATATTTTTTTTTTGTGCATCAAAAACCACATTAATTTCTCTGCGCAATTTTTGCAATTAATCATCTGCCTAAACACAACTATTAACACTGGCATTCATTCACGCTCCTCCGCCTGCACTTGGTTATTTCAAATTAATTAACCTTTAATCTCTTCGCTGTCGGTTGTCTTCCGATTTTTTATTTTTATTTGTAAATATTTGTTTGTTTATTTTTTGTTATCATTGCTAGATTTGTTGCAAATGCACTCGCCTTGCCACTCACAACATTTGTCTGCTTGCTTGCCAACTTGATTGAGTGATGCGTGCGTGCGTAGCCAGTGACGTGTGAATCCTAAACAGTTTATTAAGCTGCGAGTATTCGCTGTAAACTTTCGCATTGGCTCGACACACCTCCCGCTGATTGTTTGGCAAATAGTCTGTCAAAATATGCACTCAGCTGGGCAGGTATGTGCGTGGCGCTTAGATTGAATGCAAGTTTCGAAGGCAGTGCTGCCAATTAGTGGGGTGCATCAGTAGTGACAGGTTTCCATTAAAGGTTGGTAGCTTAAAAATTAAATATTAATATTTATGCTGCTGCTGAAGTGTTAAGTGTTTAGTCGAAGATCTAGTATTAGTTGCTTTTTGATAGGTGCACCAGCTTTAGCAACACATTCTCTCGACAGAAATGTTTACGATATGACTGGCTGGACCTGCGAAATTAGATTTTACTCATACTGAAAGCCTTGGGTTAAGGCAGTATTAAAGGCAGCTTTCGTGGCATCCCTCCTACTCCGATTCGAGGGCTTATTGAAGTCTAAATGCAGCACCAGCATCGAGCTTTTGGTGGAAGAGGGACCCCTTCAGCGAGTACTGTCGTTCATTCCGGTGAAAAAAAAATTCCCCAGGATTCGCTAAAATCGAGATTCTACCACAGCTCGCTTATTTGCAGACAGGTACCAACAAAAGAGAAGGACGAGGTGTTTATGGTCCGTTCATATCAGCACTTGGAGAGCATTTGCAAACATTTGGCGATTCCAATGCCGGCATAAGCACCACCATCTCATTGCAGCTAAGACACGTGCACTGGCTCTTTGCAGTCAGTGTTTGGCTGTTAGCAACACATGGCGGCCTGCCAGCCGAGCTATTCAAGTACGGCGGCGAGGAGCTGATGAGGTGCATGCATCAGCTCGTATGCAGAATATGGTCAGATGAACGCATGCCCGACGACTGGAATTTAAGTGTGCTCTGCCCAATCCACAAGAAAGGCGACCCCGCCATACGCGCCAACTACCGCGGAATTAGCCTTCTAAGCATAGGTTACAAGGTCCTATCGAGCGTATTGTGCGAAAGACTGAAGCCCACCGTCAACGAGCTGATTGGACCTTATCAGTGTGGCTTTAGGCCTGGAAAATCCACCATAGATCAGGTATTCACAATACGCCAAATCTTGGAAAAGACCCGCGAGAATAGGATCGACACACACCATCTATTTGTCGATTTCAAAGCCGCTTTCGACAGCACGAAGAGAAGTTGCCTTTATGCCGCGATGTCTGAATTTGGTATCCCCGCGAAACTAATACGGCTGTGTAAAATGACGTTGAGCAATACCACCAGCTCCGTCAGAATAGGGAAGGACCTCTCCGAGCCGTTTGATACCAAACGAGGTTTCAGACAAGGGGACCCCCTTTCGTGTGATTTCTTTAATCTTATGTTGGAGAAGATAATAAGAGCCGCAGAACTGAACCGCTCAGGCACAATACTTTATAAGAGCGTACAATTGCTGGCGTATGCCGACGACATCGATATTATCGGTAAAAACAAGGGCTACGTCTGTTCTGCCTTCTCGGGATTGGATAGAGAAGCAAAGCGAATGGGTCTGGTGGTGAACGAGGACAAAAACGAAGTATCTCCTGTCAGCACACAAACAGTCAGAGCATACGCGTCTTGGCACCCACGTCACTGTTGACAGTTACAAGTTTGAAAAAGTAGACGACTTCGTTTATTTGGGAACCAGCATTAACACCAATAATAATGTCAGCCTTGAAATCCAACGGAGAATCACTCTTGCCAACAAGTGCTACTTTGGGCTGAGTAGGCAATTGAGAAGTAAAGTCCTCTCTCGTCGTACAAAGATCACACTCTATAAGTCACTCATCGTGCCTGTGCTGGTGTATGGCGCGGAAGCATGGACAATGAAAGCATCTGATGAGGCGGCTCTTGGAGTTTTCGAGAGAAAGATTCTGCAAAAGATTTACTGACCTTTACGCGTTGGTGATGGCGAATATCGCAGACGATTTAACGATGAGCTGTATGAGCTTTACAACGATATAGACATAGTGCAGCGAATTAAAATTCAGCGGCTCCGCTGGCTTGGCCATGTCGTTCGGATGGACAGAAACGCTCCTGCTCTGAAAATATTCAACGCGGGCCGCGATGCTGGGAACAGAGGAAGAGGAAGGCCTCCTCTGCGTTGGAAAGACCAGGTGGAGAAGGACTTGGCTTCACTTGGCATTTTCAATTGGCGTCAGTTAGCACAGAAGAGAAATGACTGGCGTGCTGTTTTGGACTCGGCCAAAATCGCTTAGGCGGTTACAGCGCCAAATAAGAAGAAGAAGAAGAAGAAGAAGAACACGTGGAAGGTTCATCGTCGAAAGTCGATGGCGACGGTGCACTATGTGGAACTTCAGGGCTGAAGAACAGCAAAGCCGCTACAGCTAACGGCCTGCATGTATCACCGATTTTTTTTTAAATATGGGTGGACGAACGCATAACTGCTGCCAAAATTTTAATAATTTGCTAATATGTATTGAATTTTGTAACTTTTGTAAATGGATCCGAGAGAATTCTTTAGAGCTGCTATTCAATTTCGATTGAATACTGCGAATAGAAATCGAAAAGTGCTGTACGATGGAAATATTAGTAATTTTTATTTTTATTTTTAGCAGTAAACTCTTTGGGGACCGTTACCGTTTCTGAATGAAAATATAAGGAAAAAGCAATTTTTTTAATTCAATTTCGTTAACATGTTTTTACAAAAAATTTCTCAACAAATTTATTTTTTTTGGTTGGATAACTTTTTTTGCTTTTGGTATTTATCAGAAAAAAATGTTTTCTCTAAAAATTCCTTTTATAATAATTTTTTCTCAAGATTTTGCTT